ATTAGAGGCAGGAGCTAACTCAAGCTAATTAGAGGCAGGAGCTAACTCAAGCTAATTAAAGGCAGGAGCTAACTTAAGCTAGCCTGTTTTAGGCAAGCCTGTGGACCTAAACGCAAAAAACATAAAGCCATGCGTTTGCCTTCACACTTAAATTGTAGAATCATATTTAGTAAAGTGGTTTTGTGTGTAGAGAAAGGTAGGGTGTCAGCGGTTCTCCTCTATGCCAGGTTCTTGACTTCCAGCTGCTGTGTTTTCCAGATGTATTCAGGTAAGATGAACCATGAGAACATTTTGGCTCAACTGAAGAAGGAAGTTCGCTCCTTGCTCATTTCATCCAAGAATGGTTTAGCTCCGGAAGAGCTCCTACGAGACTACGCCACGATGTTGGGCCATTCGATGCCCCTGAAAGTCCTGGGCTTCAGGAACATTTTGGATATGAGTCAGGAGATGCCTGATGTGGTGTCCATTAACTTCAGGCCAGATGGGAGCATATTCTTAAAAGGTAGCGTCTCATTAAGGCATCAGCGCTCTTGTCTTTGAACTCTTGAACAGGTTTAAGTATTTGACACTCTCGCTCTGGTTTCCTGTGAAGCTGTTGGTCACGAGACCACTCGACGCATCGAGGAGCTGGTGACCAAGCAGCGCTCTAAGCCAAACAAAAAGGTCAGCAGGGGAGGTGCCCGCTACTTTCCAACTCATTCTGTGTCCCACTATGTGGTCCTCCCAAGAAGAGGCCCCCCTCCTCCAGCCATCCCTGCACAGCTGAGGACAGAGCTGCGAATACTGCTCTCACAAGTATGAATGAAATGTGTTTAATGTTTTGTGTCCATTATAACCTGGGCTTTTAAAGCCTGCTGTAGATTTTGCAGCTGGTTTATTTGCTTGGTATAAGCACAGCATCATTCAAATGAAGCATGAGCAAAATGAGAGCACAGATTGTTGGCTTTTTTTGCACTTTATAAGGTCTAGCCTGTTAACGTGAATTTTGAAGAGAAGATACCTGACAGGCTTTTCTTTCTTCTGTCACCGTACTCTCAGTGGAGTAATAATGCGGCCGCTCTCTCAGGGTCCCATTAGGTTATCCGACTTGGAGGCTTCTTTCTGGCGCTTCTTTGGACGACCACTTTGCATTCGCAGCTATGGGTTCTACTCCACTGGAGAGATGTTGGGGGCAGCGGCAGATATGGTTGTCATTAGCCAGAGCAGGTTTGGCTCACTTGTGTTCCTGAGGGAGCATATGATCCCTAGGCCACTGCTCAAGTTACCCGCCTCAACAAAGAGGGGTGGACTGATAAAACCAGCATTGCCGAGGACATGCAGGCCAGATTCTGAAAGGCCAGATGTCAAACTTCAGTCGCCAAAAACACCTCCAGGTTCGTCCTTTGGGCTTTTTCTTGTAGTTTTGTTTCGCTCTGTTTGTTTTTTGCACTTCTAACTGTTAGATTTGGTGCCATGTAAATGAAATGAAACTGAGAAATTTGGCTTTGTATTATTGCACTAGTCTGCATTTTGAAACACCTTTGCGTCCTCTTCAGCTGAAGCTCCAGAGAAACCAACATCTCTGAACCAGACATCTACCCAGAATTCCTTGGATTCTGCCCGTAGTGAGCCGGGAACCGTCGATAGCAAGCCGGGGGCGGACGAGAAGAACCAGGAAACCAAAGCTCAGCTTTCCCCAGAGATTCAGCTCTTTGATAACCATGTCCTCCAGGTTGGGTTTCATTTGCACCTGAAATCCATCTCAGATATGAAATGTCTAATGTTCCATTGCTTCTCACTGGATAAACTGTGGCGCCTAAAAGACTCTGGTTTTGGTCAAACATTTGGGGTGTAATTGTTCAGGCACACTACAGCAGAAAAATCAGAAATAGTGCTGTTACTAAATCCTGTCACGTAATGGTGAGAAATCCTATTTGGTATACCTCGTATCTGTTAAGTGCAGTTTCTTTCTTCTTCTTAAATGTGATGTTAGCTAGAGGAGGGGCTTCGTCAGCAGATCCTGGAGAACGGAGTTGCTGGCACCATCAATCAGGAGCTGAAGGACAAACTACGAGCGGTGAGGCCTCGCACCGCTTTATCAGCATATGTCTTTGAGCCCAGTTTTAATCACGCAAGCATAACAAGTGTAAAGTCTGCAAGTGCTGTTATAGTTCATGTATGTGGGGGGAAAAGGACGCGCGAGTATACGACTCGCTCTCAGCCCCTGTCGTCGCTCTGAAACCGCCGTATTAATCACAGATGACCGTAAGAGGTCAACAGACGTGTGAAAATGATTAACATGTCGACAACTCTGCAGGTCATAGGTCAGACGGACGGCGGATTATCAGTTCACAAACTGCCAGCAGAGTACAAGGTAAAAACAAGTTTGCATGTTTGTGTTGTTAACAGAGAGTTTTCTAAACATCAAACTGATCCAGGATGTTAGAAGCAGAGCCGTCCTAATCACTAATAGAAACAACCTGTCACACACACACACACACTGTTGGCTCCCCCCCACCCTGGAGGTCGCCTACGATCACAGCAGACATTAATAAAAGATGCACACTCATCTTCTCGGGAATCTTAAATATTCTCCT